CTTTTCCCACATTCTCCCCCTCCCCCCCTCCCTGCTAATAACCCTTCATGTGATCTCCATTTCTCTGAATCTGGAACACCCACTCTAGAAAACAGTTTGGAATTCTAAAAAGTTCAGAAAACTTGTCTATCAAATGGCCCTGCCATTTATTCTTAGGTATTCATGCAAAGAAATGAAACAATACAGGAATGCCAAAATTTGTACATGGATGCTCATAACAGTTCTATTTGTAATAGTCAAATAACTTTGTCCCAGTGTTATGGTCCCAACTGTCCATCAACAGGTGAATCGATAAAAAAGTTGTGTACATGCCTACAATAGAACACTACTCAGCTATAAAAAGAAATGGATTATTGACAAAGGCAGCAATATGAATGGATCTCAGATAATTATGCTAAGTGAATGAAAACTGAAGAAATACATACATATGACTTCCTGTAAATAAATGTCTAGCAAATGTAAACTAATCTGCAGTGACAGAAAGCAGACCAGTGGCTGCTTGGGGGTGGAGTGGGAGAAAGGACCAACAGGGAAGGATGGCAAGAAGGCCCGAGGAGATTTGGGGGTGATGAATACACTCTTTATTGTGATGGCAGTGGTGTTGTCCCTGGCATAAGCACTTGTTAAAACCAATCACATCATACACTTGAAGTATGGGCACTTCATTGTGTATTGGTTAAATCTCAATAAAGGCATTAAAGATACATATGAGACATGCCAAAAGCAACTTAAATCTAGAAACACTGAGAGATGAATTGAAAAATAAAAATAAAGAAATTAGCCAAAAGACTCAGAACTAGAAAACAACGGCAGAAATACACAACCTGGAGATGAGAGAAACGAAGTATCTTTGCAGCTTTAAGAGATGGAACCGGACTGCACAGTGCTGGGGGAAGGGTCTCCTGCACCTGGTTGGACCAGGTTCCATCAGGGAAATACAAGAGGTGGAATGATAGAGTAAGTCCCACAGACAAGCACATTTGTAAAATCGTGTGAGATTTGTTTCTTATGTACCACCTATTTAATCAATTATTTATTTTAGTTTGATATTTATGTGACTGAGAGCAACATAAAAAATAATTTTAAGTTGAATAGCGATGAAAACCATAATAGTGATTAGCTGAAATCTGCTGAGTGACTAATTAAATGGTGATAGCTGACATCCACTAGTCTTCACAAAAATCATACTCCCATCTAAAATCAGTCCATGCTCCTAGATCGCAAGTTCTTTGTCCTACTCAAAAATTCACTCCAGCATTTCTTCACCCTTTTCTGTACAGCATCTTTTTCCTGCCTTCAGGAAGATACCCTACTGATTAAAAAACAAAAAATATACAAGTATATTGTTATTCATCTCCCATCCTGATAACAGCTTCTCCTGGCCCCAGCTGCCCTGCCATTGGTTTGCTTTCTTTCTTTCTTTTTTTTATTACTTTATTGTTGTTCAATTATAGTACTCTGAATTTTCCCCCCACTGCTCCCTGCCACCCCAGCCAAACTCCCCTCCCTCCCTTGCTTTCACCCTCCCCCTTGGTTTTGTCCATGCATCCTTTATAGTTGTTCCTGAAAACCCTCCCCCCCACACTATCCCCTCCCACCTCCCCTCTGGTTACTGTTAAATTGTTCTTACTTTCATTGTCTCTGATTACATTTTGCTTGCTTTTTTTCTTTTGTTAATTCTGTTCCAGTTAGAGGTGAGATCATATAGTATTTGTTCCACACTCAGCATAATGCTCTCCAGTTCCATCCATACTGTTGCAAAGGGTAGGAGCTCCTTCTCTCTCTCTGCTGTATAGTATTCCATTGTGTAAATGTACTGTAGTTTTTTGATACCCTCATTTACTGATGGGCACTTAGGTTGCTTTCAGCACTTGGCTATTGTAAATTGTGATGCTATGAACATTGGGGTGCATAGGTTCTTTTGGATTGGTGTTTCAGGGTTCTTAGGATATAATCCTAGCAGTGGAATTGCTGGGTCAAAAGGCAGTCCCATTTTCACTTTTCTGAGGAAATTCCATACTGTTTTCCACAGTGGCTGCACCAGTCTGCGTTCCTACCAACAGTGTACTAGGTTTGCTTTCTTTCACAGTAAAACTTCAAAAGAGTTCATTCTACTTGTTGTGTCTTCAATTCCTTGCTTCAAAGTCTCTTTCAGACCATGCTAACTAAGCTTCCATGATTCTTTGTCATTATCAACAGTGATTTCCACATTGTTAAATCCGATGGCCAGTTATTTCTCTTCTTATTTTCTATGCACTTGACTCAATGTTAAATATTTAGGAAATTATCTCAATATTTATCTTTATACTCATATTTGGTAAGGCCTTTATAAGAATATAAATTCTGAGGTTTGTTTCGAGTCAGGCAACTGAAGGATGAAAAATAAATAAAAGTGATTAAAGATTTGAGAAGTAATCTTTCTAATAATAGAAAAAAGCATAAAGTCTTATTTTATTTAAAGAAGATAATATTAAGGAGAAAACTATAAAACAGAGTATCTAGTCATCTAAAAAGGCATTTATAAATGTATATGAATAGGGTTTTGTTGTTTCCTCAGTCCAATATAAACAGAAATATGGCTAAATTACCAGGGGGGGTGGAATTACAGTGCTCATGAGGAGAATCTAGCTAAGAAGAATTAGCAGAATACCAACATTTACTGAGCACCAACTATATACTAAGGGTAGGAATAGCAGCAGAGATAGAGAGATAGAGATTAAAGATAGAAATATCTGAGTTATTTTAGGAGAGAACTTACATCAGTTCTTATTCCACTCCAATGCAGCATTTCCTAAGGGAACTAAATACAAATTTATAAGTATTTGCAGATACAAAGTTACTCCTGCTTTCCAATCTGTGAGTTATGTGAAGTTGTCCTTATGTTTAAAGAGGAATCTAAAGGAGAGTGTAGGAAGTCTTCCCAATTTCACATGCAGGCAGGAAGGGGGAAGCACAAATTGACCGTTATAAAATCTGGGTTCTAGTGTGTACTTGTCTATTTTCTACCATTTGCTTGTGGGAAATTTACTTTCTCGTACTTTATGTGTAAAATAAAGGTAAGAATACATGCAAAGAATACTGGAAAGATTTCATGGGTGTAGTTTCCATGAAAATATTTTGAGTACAAATATAAATAGTTCTTCAAAGAACTTATGAAAGTACAGGCTTCCTTCTTGCCATACAATTGAAGGTTAAAGTAAAGGAATTTAAATGCATATTCTTAATGAGTCATATTCTGATATAAACTTTTAAAAATTGTTCTTGCTTATATATGTTTATTTGATTGCTTCTCATCTTCAAACTCCTACACAATTTAAGTCATTACCATTTAACATTTCTTAGCAGGCCATGCTCTATATTAATTTTGAGAGATTTTAGTTTTCCAATAAAAAAGAAAGAGTAGCTATGACATTAGGCTTCTGTGAGTTATCACCTACCCAATATTCTCAGGGAGTACTAAAAAGATATCTATTGTGACATCCAGGTATCTGTCAGCCTGTATAAAACTCAGAGCCAGCTGAGAATAGACATGAATAATGAAAACTCCTTACAATTTCAGAGGCATACAATATGGATCTTAGGCCTGATAGGTTTACTATTTCTTATACCTCTTTCTAGGGTATTCATGTATCATATTGAAAGGGAAATTGCTCTTGATCTTCCCATCACTGGAAATCTCTAGAAATTTGTAAGCTGCACCTAGACTGAATAATCAGATTGATCTGGTAACTAATCACTGAAAAAAAAAAGAAATGCTTAAGTCATAAATACCAAGAGAATCCATTGATTGTAAACAAAATGGAAGGGAGGCATTACTGAGCAATTTCAACTGAGTAAGATAATTAAACTCAGAGATGCTGTTTCCTGTTTCTCTGGAATAAACAAGGCCACTGCACTGGCCTCTCCCAAGGCCACATCTTTATTCTTTTCTTCCACTTTCCCTGAGGAGAATTCAGGGTCATGAAAGAATGAGAATTGGTGTAACTTTCCTCAAACGTTGTGAGCTTCCTCTGTGTTTTTATGTGTGTTATCTTATTAGAAGACAAGGTAACATCTATTATTAATTGATGCACTAATTAAAGCCATACTTGTAATTTCCATGAGCTTATTCCCTGAATTCTCCGAGTTCGCTGTCTGGTTTTAATCAAAACCAAATGGTAGTCCAAGTTCCCAGCCTGGAGCAGCTAGGAGGAAGTCATTCAGTGGAGGCACAAGAAAGCAGAAAAGATAAACAGATGATAGTTCACAAAATTTGTGTCGGACGCAGGATGCAGATACTGGGAGCCGCTGGAGAGATGTGACTCAGGGACCCTGTCATGCTGGAGGGAAGCAGTCGCAAGTGGTTAATGTCAACAAGACTGTAATAGGATCAAGATGGAGTCTGTTTTCTGCTTTTCCAGCACTGGATTTCTGTAACTGGAAGATTCTGACTAGAGGTAATGCTGCTGAGCCAGGGCACAAACTTCTTTAATTCTGGGAAGGATTCTTGGGATCGGAGAGATCTTGAAGAAAACATTCTAATTCCTGGATTTGGGGGATTTTACTTCCAGATTACCTCAGGCATCGTATAGGAGGCTGCAGCATTTTAAGTTGTCAGCGGTGGAAAAAAAAAGATTTCAAATTTAGAAGAATTACGGTATTAGAACTAAATTGGTCTTGCTGCCTTAAAAGATCTTTTGAAAGGAGAACTGCAGTGGTTTTTTGGTTAAGTTGTGTCCATACATTTAGTAGTGTGGAAAAGTCGTACAGGAGGGAGAGAGCTATGTTTTCTTTTCCTTTTTTCTCTTAAGCAATGTGGGATAGAGAAAGCTCTAGGACTTTATGACTCTCCAGCTAATCACCTCAAGAGCTTTGACAAACTCACTTCAGTTCTGTGTAAAATCAGAGCTCCTACAACGCCCAGGCGGGCTCCACTCCCCCCCACCCTCCCGCCCCTCCGCTTCATGCAGTCTTTCTCCCTTGCACACTCCTCGGAGGCAGGAAATGCTTCCCAGGCAATCTGGGCCTGCTGGTGGAGGGCCCTTTCGCAAAACATCAGTCTGAATTTAGTAGACAGAAGTCACTAGGAACGCCTTGACAGACTCCTGCTGCAGCCAAAGCTCCCTCCAGCTGCGGAGGGTGTTTTTGTTAGAATCCCTCACTGCGTAAAACTGCTTAGAATAGAGCCATGATCTCAACCACGAAATGTGAACTCATATTTTGGAGAAACTAACGGGGACGACTGCTCTCCTAACCTGAGAGTTGAACAGTGTCATGCCTTGGTGTTCGGGCTGCTCCTTGTCTAGGTAAGAGGCTGTGGGCTCTCTATCTTTATCCTCGGAGGTTATCTGTGAAGAGGCAGAAAGACTGGGATAAACGTTAGCATCTTGCAGCGAGTGGTGATTTCCTAGGATTTAGAGCTAAGCCATGAAATCAGAAGTGGAAAATGTTTAATGAGTAGAAAACTGTGAGTCAAACTGTTTTAGCAAAATGTCAATTCTAAAATAGGCTCCGTAGAGACTTGATTCCTTTATAAACTAAGATTTTCTATTAATTCCCTTTATTATTCTTAACTTATGTATGAACAGAGCTGTATGTCCAAGTTTCCTATTATATGGCATAATATGAGACAAACATATATCTTCGCATGTAACCGTGAGGTGTAAGTGGATCCCTTTTATCTCCCTTCTTTTGCTAACACAGAGAGTAAATAGCACCAGAGCAACTGTTCTTAATAATGAATCTCTAAAGAATATTTTATGTCTCATTTAAAATCTGAAGGTTGGATTCCTCAGTCTTTCCCCAAACCAGTTTTACCTATAGGTCAAACACTTAATGTACAGCTTAAGTAGTTGGTTAATAATAAAAAGTAAATACATAAATTTTCACCTCTCCTAAGTAGTATTTAATCTGATTTTCAAAAATTTAAATATCAGAATTAGATTTAATTTCTATTATATTAACTTTCTTGAATTCACTATTTAGGCCATATTTTTGTGAATATTTTTGAAGAGATTGAAGTAAATCTCAATGACAACATCATTCATTTTCATTATTTTAAGGCAGCTGGAAATCACTACAATTATATGAAATACTGATCATGTGTTTATAATTTGTATAATCATAAGATTACACTTCCACTAGGGCTATAGTCTCTTTAAAGTATCTTATTTTGTCTTTCTATTTTCTTTTTTTCTTTAAAGTTTCTTAAGTGCTTAAGTGTGCAGTATGAGGGAATATTTTTAGTAATGATTAAAATGATATTGACTTTTAATGCATAACATACTGTTACATTTATATTTCTGATATTTAGAAAGAGACTAATTATTTTATTAAAATAATATGCAATGGTATGTAAAGTGAACGAACATGCATGTATATTTCCAAACTTATTAGATAAACACAAAATATACTCAATGAGAAATGAGCGCTACTTGACAGTCGAATGACAATAAATTGTGTTTTAATTATAAACTTCCACATATTGCAAGGTGACCATTGGCAGTATTAGCTACTTATTCTTAAATTCTATGCTGGAATAACTTATACTGATAAATTTTAACTACTCTCTGAGAATTTAAGTCATGTTAAGACTTTTAAACAAAGTCCCTGAGTAGAAGTTTAAGGAAGGAAGTAACATAAGGCAATCACTCTAACACTGTGATGAGGTTGCCACAGGAGCTAAGGAATGACATTCAGAAATGACCTGTTCAAGGTCACACCACTGGCTGATAGAAGAGATGGCAATGGAACCACAGTGCCTTGTTTTATAGTTTAGATATTTTTATTCTACATCATCATGCTCTCAAATATAACTATGTAGAATAAAGGATTCACATGTCCAGTAGAAGTCTACTTGTAGACAGAAAATTGGAGTGCTTCTTAAATAAAAAGGCTGCCACCACTATTACGGTGTGGAAAAATTATGGTTTTACAAAAGTCAAATTTACTCAGCAGTAAAATTTCCTCAAATGCAAGTTTTCTTAAAAAGATGTAATAGGCCTTCAACAAACATTTTAATGGAGTAACTTGTTTGTGACTACTTTGTCACATTTTGTGACTATGCCAAGAAAATCAATCCATATGCTAATAATCATAGTAATTTTAAATGCATGTTACTTAAAAACATAGGGCCAGAAAAGAGCTTGTCTGGTTCATATCCTTGTATTCAAATGGTATCATAATGAGCTTACCCAACCAATGAAGTTCAAAGGAGCTATTAACAGCCCATTGAAACTGGTTTAGTGTACGCAGACTTTCTTTCCTTTATCTACTTAAATTTCTATTGCTGGAGTCTATTTAAAGTTCCATGGGGTTTTCCTCCATGAGACTATAAAAAGCTTAAGTGGACATATGAAGACATAAGTGTACATTTCTAGGTTCAATAAAGCCCACTTCCTGTCATGTTCCTTTCTATAGCTTATGTTCAATTCTCTCATTGACTATGTCTACTCTGAGCCTTCTGCAAGGTCCTTCGGTTGTAAAATGCAGAATTTGTTACAACATATAAATAAACGTCTGATCAGCACAGTGTAAAATGGGAGAGTTGGCTGCTTTCTCTGCACCGTACCTCACACATGATAATGTATGTTACACACATGCTGACACAGCGCTTTCCAAGGTAACAGCCTTTCTCAAAAAACTATCGTATGTCACTTCTGTTACATGCCATTTCTTTAGAGCAAATGTGTGTAGCGAAGCTTTTTATCCCCATTTTTATGAAACAGATTGAACGTCATTACCACTTCAAAGTTACACTGTTCAACACCTCTGGTGTTACCACGCTCCACATCATTGGAATGAAGAATAAAGGCAGTTAAGAAATAGCTTGTGTAACTGACTGCATAATTCCTAGAGGGCTGAGTAAACCAGAGCACATCGTTCCAATTTTTTCTTAAGGGCATTATAATAAAAAAGGAGGATTTTTAGGCATGGTGGAATCTTACAAAGGATTGGGTCTTATAGGCTTAAAATAAGTCTAAATTGGGACAGTTACAATTTACATTTTGTTTTAACCTTTTTTTTTCTTAGAGAATGAGTAAATTGGTGTGATTAGTCAGTATTATCTTACAGTGAGGATCTTTCTGGAGAAATAATTACAGTGCAGCGAAGTTCCAAATGAGAGATGACCTAGATCTGGATTAGAGAATTTTATTATCAAAATAGGAAAATGTCCAGAATGTATGACATGAGAGTTTAAAGAGGATGAGGGAAAAGTGGAAAATACTCCAGATTTGAAGGAAGCGGCATGAGTATTGTGCCTTCTGCCCCCACGTTAATGATAAGCCCCTTATGGGCACAGCTTGAGGTTTATGGAGAAGCCCAACTCCAGACTGAATTTGGTGTAGGTATAGAAATACAACCTTTAGCCCTGGCTGGTGTAGCTCAGTGGATTGGGTGCTGGCCTGTGAACCAAAGGGTCTCCAGTTCGATTTCCAGTCAGGGCACATGCCTGAATTGCAGGCCAGGTCCCCAGTGTGGGGGATGCAAAAGGCAACCACATATTAAGGTTTCTCTCCCTCTCTCTCCCTTCCCCTATGTTTAAAAATAAATAAGTAAATAATCTTTTTTAAAAAGAAACAAATACAACCTTTACTTGTATTCTATTTTGGCATTGAACTATTAGTCAGTTCAGTGAGAAATAGGTGGGCTAGGTTTTTAAGAAAGTTAAACAAAAAAGTTGAAGTGTGCTCCTTGAGACCTAGTTAAAAAAAGATTGTTGATTTTGAGTCAGTGGATTATAGAGCATACAATGAACTTAAAGAGATTATACAGGGACTCTGATGCACACACACAAAAAGCTGAAAGGCAATATAAACAGTGTGCACGTGAGTTTGTACATCAATTAAGATAGATGGGTAGAAGAAGTTATTGTAGCTAGTTGTACGGGTGGATTTTCCGCAATGTAAATGGAATGGTGTGCTGAAAAGCCCAATGGGAAGAGTAGTGAACTGGCTCTGATTTGCATCTTTGCCACTTGAGGCTCTACGGTTTGAAGCATGCCCCATCACTGCCTTGAACTTCTGCTTTTTATTAGTACAGTGGGGAAGATAATGAAAATATTTATATCCCCTGGGCATTTTAAGCATCAAGTGAGATTGTATATGTGCAAATTGTTTTGTATATAGTATAACAAATATTTTGTTTAAAAAAAGTGTAAGTCAATTAGTCAAGAAGGGAAGAATCATGCTGTTCCACATTTTGGTCGAAATCACTTATCTGTATTGAAATAGCGTGGGCGCATAAGGAACAGGTCCAGCTCATACTCAGCCATGGACTCTGTAGCTAAAATTAACCAAAAAGAGTAAAGGAGTCATTGTCATTGTCATCGTCAGTAGCAGCAGCATGTCACTTAGCATCTAGCGAGGTCTTTAATATGCCATAAATTAAGTGCTCTACATAAACTAGTACTCATTGTTGTTAGTTTAGCTGCATATTTTTATTTTCCCATCAACATTTTTATTATTCCCATTATAGAAGTGAGAAAACTAAGGAACGCAAACTTAGGTAACTAACCCAAATGAAGGGGGGAAATATTCTTTAACAGATATCTTTACAAAAAATGACAAGAACAATCCTTACCCACCAATACGTGTTTGACATTGAGCTAGTGATTTCGTAGTGCCAAAATTTCTCCCTGTAAAATTAGGGTAATGATAGTACCTACTCCATAAACTATTTATGAGTATTATTTTTAAAGAGACAGAGTAAATAAAACAGCAGATACAGCACCTGATCCATAGCAAGTATTTAGTAAATGGAAGCTTTTTTACTGTTACTATTTATTATGATCATTGAAAGTTTCCAATGCACCTACTATTACTTGGATATATAGAAGACCACTTGGTAATAAAAACAAGCTTAAGTGTATATAGGTAGATAACAGAATAAAATGCGAATTATAGGTATTAAACATAGGAGACAAAAGATGGTATCAGAGGCATTGACCCCTGGTAGAATCATACCGACCCAAGAGAAGTAGCTGAGTTCCTAGTGATTTTATATCCCTGATTTTAGTGAAAGGCATACTTATTGAATGACTGGGGTCTCAGCACCCTGTTATCGCCTAGCTATCTGAGCACCTGTGTGGATGTAGCCATATCTCTTATTTATATTTAGTGATTACTGTGTCTACTGTTCGAGTGTTCTTAGAAATGATAGCAAAGTTGAAAATAGAAAGTGACCACTTAAGCAAAGCCACATCTCACCATGCTGATGATAAAGCATTATAATCTGTGTCCCTTGTTGAATAGCAATATCATTTTATAACAAGGCAAAACCACATTTCAGTCATATTGATTTGCCA